GTCTTCCTTATTTTTCTTGTAGAATTCTGCAGTGAATCCGTCTGGGCCTGGGCTCTTCTCTGTAGGTAAAGATTTAATTACATTTTTGGTTTCATTAATAAAAATTCGGTTATTGAATAGTTTTACATCTTCATGACCTAGCTCTGGTACTACATATGCTTCTAGGCATCTGTCTATTTCCTCTGTGTTATCAAACCTTTGAGAGTATAGGTTTTCAAAATAGGTGTTGATGATTTTCGGTATTTCTATAGGGTGTCTAGTAATTTTGCCTCTTTCATTCCTTATTGCATGAATTTGAGCTTTTTCTTCCCTTTTTAAAATAAGGTTCACTAGGGGCTTGTCGATTTTATTTATTCTTTCAAAGAATCAGCTCTTTGATTCGATGATATTTTGGTCTCTATTGCATTGATTTCTGCTCTGATTTTTATAATTTCTTCTCTTCTTTTGGCTTTGGGCTTGACTTGCTCTTCTTTTTCTAGATGTTTGAGGTGTAACATCAGGTTATTTATTTGTATTCATTCGGTTTTCCTAATGTGGGAACTCAGTGCAATAAATTTTCCTCTGAGGACAGCTTTCATTGCATCCCACAGATTCCAGTAAGTTGTATTTGTGTTTTCATTTTTTTATAAGTATTGCTTAATTTCTTCTTTAATTTCCTCTGTGACCCACTGATTACTCAAGAGTGTGTTATTCAGTTTCTATGTGTTTGTGGGATTTTTGCAGTATCTTTTATCATTAATTTCTAATTTCATAGCTCTATGGTCTGATAGCATGCAAGGGATAATTTTGACCATTTTGCATTTATTTAAATATGTTCTGTGAATTAATATAAGTTCTATTTTAGAGAATGACCCAAGTACTGCTGAGAAGACTGTGTATTCTATTGTTGGGTGGTACACTCTGTATATGTCTATTAAGTCCATTTGTTCACAGGTGCGATTCAGTTCTCTTATTTGTTTGCTGACTTTCTGTCTGGTTGATCTGTCCATTGGTGTCAGTGGTGTGTTAAGATCTCCTGTTAGAATTGTGTTACTGCTAATTTGGTTTTTTATTTCTGTTAGTACTTGTTATATATAACTGGGTGTTCTGGAGTTTGGTACTTATATATTTAAGATAGTTATCTCTTCCTCTTGAAGTTTTCCCCTAACCAGTATGTAGTGACCTTCTTTAACCTTTCTGATCACTATTGGCTTGAATTTCAGTAAATAGGATAGCTACCCCCACTTTTTTTGGGGTTCCTGTTGTGTGAAGTATTGTTTTCCATCCTTTGACTTTTAGTCTGTGAGTATCCTTTTGGGTTAGATGGGTTTCTTGTAGACAGCATATGGTTGGATTTTGTTTCTTGATCCATTCTGCTTGTCTGTTTCTTTTAATTGGTGCATTGAGACCATTTACATTAATGGTTAGAACATTTATATATTGGTTTGTTGTTGACATGTTATCTTTCTGCTGTTGCTTCTTTATCTTTCTGCTCTGTTTAATTGTCTGCTTTGTTTAGTGGTTTTTTTCCTAAATGTATCTAGGCTCTCTTTCAGTATTCTCTGCAGGGTTGGCTTGGTGATCTTGAAGATTTTCAGCTGTTCTTTGTCATGGAAGTATCTTATTTCTCCATCCATTTTGAGGACAGTTTTGCAGGGTACATCGGGAAAATCATTTTCCTTTAGGAAGGAAAATGATTCCTTTAGGTTACAAATCATTTTCCTTTAGGAACTGAAATACTTCACTTCATGCTCTTCTTGGCTTTATTATTTGTGCTGAGAAGTCTGCTGTGATTCTGATAGGTTTTCCTTTATAGATGATCTGTCTTTTCTCTCTGACAGCTTTTAATATTCTATTCTATTGTTCTATTTCTGGGATGGTCATTATTATATGTCTGGGTATAGATTTATTTTGGTTATAACTATTTGGGCCTCTAACTGCTTCATTGATCTTGGTATCAGTTTCCAATCTCATATTTGGGAAATTTTCAGCTATTACTTCTCTAAATATCTCTTGACATCCTTTATGTTGTCCCCTTCTTTTTCATTTATTCCTATCAACCTTATGTTGTTCCACTTTGCGTCATCTTGCAGGTGTTGAATTGTTATTTCCTGATTTCTTGTTATTTTTAAAAGATCTTTCCTTTCCTGTACACTGGCTGCAAACTTGTCTTTGAGGTCTGAAATTCTATCTTCACATTCATTGAGGCAGTTTTTACAACTTTCAATGGAGTTTTTGATTTCCTGTATATCTGTTTGCATCTGCTTTCTGTATTCTGTTTGTTTCTTATATTGTTCATCCAGGGACTCTATCTTTTTGTTTAGATCCTCGAATTTTTTAACTGTGTCTTCTTTAAATATGTTCAGCATCTCCTTCATTTCTTTTATCATTTCTTCTTTTACCTGAGAGATTATTTCTGGTTTGAATTCCTTTAAGGCTTCCAGGAGTTGGTTCTTTATTTCAGTTACTATTATTTCAGGTATTTCAGGTATGCTGCATTTGTTTTCTTCTATGTATGTGGTTCCTAGGCTTTCTTGGGGTGTGCTTGATGTTTGATGTTGCATTTTGGTCTTACCTTTTGTCATTTTCCTATATTTTTGAGCTTCAAGTGCTCTTCCAAGTGAGGGAGAGAGTTCTCCTAGACTGGGATCGGGTTCTGCTCCATTGCCCCACTCACTGGGCCTGGCAGTGAACTGTGGCTTGTCCCCAGGTGAGAAAGAGAGTTCCCCCAGACTGGGATGGGATTCCGTGCCTACGCCCAACTGGCTGGGCCCGGCAGGAAACTATGGGCTGGTCCCCAGGCAACAAAGAGAGTTACCCCAGACTTGGGCAGAATTCCGTGCCTACCAGAAGACTCACTGGTTCATGCAGGAAACTGAGGGCTGGTCCCAGATGACCAAGAGTGTTCCCCCAGACTGGGGCGGGATTCCATGTCTAGGCCTACTCACTGGTCCTGGCAGGAAACCTCGGGCTGGTCCCCAGGCAACAAAGAGAGTTCCCCCAGATTGGGGCAGGATTCCGAGCCTAGGCCCCACTGGCTAGTCCCCCCAGGAAACCCTCTTCCATCCCTTTTGAAGCACAGTTGTGCAGGGCAAATCAATCTGGGTTCAAAGTCATTTTCCTTTATGATCTTAAATACTTCACTCCATGCTTTTGTGGACTTCACTGTTTGTATTGAGAAATCTGCTTTGATTCTGATAGACTTTACTTAATAGCTGATCTGTCTCTTCTCTCTAACAGCTTTTAATATTCTATTCTTATGTTGTATTTCTGGGATATAGATCATTTTATGTCCGTGTGTAGTTTTATTTTGGTTATGGTTATTTTGAGTTCCATATGCTTCACTTATCTGTGTTCCAGTTTCCATTCTCATGTTTGGGAAGTGGTCAGCTATTATCTTTACAAATATCCTCTTGATATCATTTGTGTTGTTACTTTCTTTTTCTTTTATACCTATCACCTCATGTTGTTTTTCTTTGCATCATCTTGCATCTTTTGCATTTTTATTTCCTGATTCTTTTTACTTTTTTCATATATCTTTGTTTTCCAGTTCACTAGCTGAAATCTTGTCTTTGAGGTCTGAAAGTCTATCTTCACTTTCATTGAGGCAGTATTGCCATCTTTTGATGGAATTTTTGATTTCCTGTATATCTCTTTGAATCTTATTCATGCATTGTTTGTTTTTTATATTGCTAATTGAAGTTTTCTATCTTTTTACTTTGTTCTTCTAATTTTTTAAACTATTTCTTACTTAGATATGTTCAGAATTTCTTTCATTACATCTATCAATTCTTCTTTTATGTGGGAGATTATTTCTGATCTGAGTTCTTTTATAGCTTCTTGGAATTGTTTCTTTACTTCATTTGCTATCATTTAAAGTGTATGGCTTACAATTTCTTCTATGTCCATGTCTGTTTGGCTTGCTTGGGATAGACTGGAGGTTTGAGATTGCATTTTGCTCTTTCATTGGGTAGTTTACTATATTTCTGGGCTCAGAGTGATCCTCCAAAGCTTCTCTGTGTGCTAGAAATCACCTCATGCACGTTTGGCTCTCAGGGAAGACTTCAGGCACATGGTAGCTACTTGGAGGTGGCCAGAAAGGCCTTCAGGGTCCTCCATTGCATCCTCTGGTGATTTGGGATGCTAGGTGGAAACTTAATGGCTTGGGGCAATATTCCAAAGCTTCCCCATGCACTGTAAATCACCTCATGCACTTTTGGCTCCTGAGGCAGAATGCAGAATGCTCTGGAAAGTTTTTTTTTTAATGCACTAGTGTAACCACAGCAAGATTTAATTTTAAGTTTCAGAAGTGAAAACTCAGAGTAAACATTAAATTTACTGTGTCATATGTGAGAAGTTTGCCTCTTCCTTTTGATCTATGTTGAATGGGACATTGAAAGATGATGCCATATGGCATTTTTCACCAGGTAAATTTTCAACAGAATTCCTGAAAATCATACATCTGCTAAAGTAAAGACATCTCTGGTGCCTTCATCTTCCTAATTCTACTTGAATTCTATATATACTCATAAGATAAAATGAAAAAGATTCTAGACCAAAGGTGTTTTTTTGTGCTCATCTTTGATTCTCTCTCTCTAATTGTAATTGAACTCAAGACTTTCTTGTCTTGCATATATATATATATATATATATATATATATATATATATCCATTGCCCTTGATTTTTTCACTTATTTGGGAGGGAATAGTTCAGTCACTGATACAAATTTAGACCCATCAGATGCACATGCAAAAGCAACTCAGGCAGACAAGGAGCTTTTAAATATTCATCAACAAAGATAATTCTTTCACCATGTATAGAACCCCAAGATAATTCAAGAGTGTTTTTAATCCCTCATTTAATATATCTCCTCTACTTTCCTTCCTTTTTCTTTGGACATTTATGAAATAAGTGTCCCTTATATCTGCTGTGAAAGAATTAAAAGCCTGAATTCATGAAATTCTAGTCATTAGAGATTTAGAACCATAATGGACTTATTTCTCTTTTCTTCTCCTCCCAGGGTATTTGGAAATTTGACTTAGAGTGCCAACAAAAGTATGGAAAGATGTGGGGGTGAGTATTTTGGAAACTTCCATCTGGTAGACCTCTTAGAATGAGGCACCCAGCATGAAGACAGTGTCACACTAGAGCTCTTGGGATGCAGCTATGTACAGTGAGGCTTGCATGCTGGTTTCACTTACCTTTCCAGGTTCATAGATTGAAATAGGCTTAAACTTGCAAATTATGACTTTTCTGAAGTCTTTGATGATTCAGAAACTCCTGTCTTCACTTTCTATGTGGTTTCTGACCATACTCCTCCATTTTCCCTTTCTTGGTTTCTGTTTAATTGCATGAGAAGAACTAGTGTGGGAGGAAGAAGGGAAGAAGGAAGTAAAAAGGGAAAAGATTATTTTAAAAAGGATGGATATAACGTTTTTCAAATAGGAAGAGGAAGATGGTTTTATGGAAGAAGAGAAAATTGGAAAAAAATAGAGAAATAAAAATATAACATATACAAGTACCAATTCTGTACTGTGAATATGATCATCTAAACTATATCTAAAACATACTGATGAATTTAATTTTATAAGAAATTACAAAAGATACATTATTTCAGGCTATGACTTATATGTTCATAATTGCACTGCTTTACCTCCTTCTTTCATTTATTTACTTGTAAAATTCAATACTCCAAAAATTTCAAGTTTAATATTTGCCATGGAAAGATGAGCTGGATTATATGTAAGTAGACTGGGAAATGATTTTTGCACTGCTTCTGTTTCTTTTCTATTTCTTGTGCATGGGCATAGACTTTCTTTTCTTTCTTTTTTTTTTTTTTTTTTTTTTTTTTTTGAGACATGGTGTTTGTACGTGGTTCAGGCCGACGTTGAATTCATTGTGTTTTCCAGGGTGGTGTTAAACTTATGGATCCACCTTCCTCAGGCTCCCAAGTGCTAGAATAACAGACATACACCAGTATGTCCAGATTTTGGATTTCCTTTGATTTCAAGCCAAGACTTTCCAACAGAATCCTGTCCACATATTTTCTGGTTTACCTAATTCTATTTACTTTGAAGAAGTCATATAACATATTTTATATTATTTTTTAAACTAAGTTTTGCTATGTAGAATCCACATACTGCAGCAATTCCCCTTCAGAGCTACAAGAGTTTCTCTTTGTACTTGACTTGTAGCCCAGGATACCCTCTAACTCATAGCAGTTCTCCCACTTCAGCTTCCCAAGTGTTGGCATTACAGGTGAGCACCAACACGATGTTCCTGGAGTGTATTTTAAACCATGCATTGCCATGTGACTTATGTCCTTAGTGATTTTGTAGAAAGGTCCATGCTACCTACAGTAGCAATATCCTTAATAGCTATAGGAGATTAAATGAAAGCAATATAACTAGTGTAATCATATGCTTTTGTGCTCAACCATGTGAGAGAAGATTTTATCTCTTCCAACCTCGTCATCCTTTCTCATCAGTCTCCAGGAACCACTAATTGACCATAGTATTCTGTGAGTTGATCTGGCTCCAAAAGGCAAGAGTGTTCATTGGTAAGAGCTTGTAGTCCTGGATCTCCACTGGTTGAACTCCAAGGGTGTTTTGCAACATTTAGTACTGTGAGAACTTAATAGCTTGCCTTTAACTTTTCATTGATTTAATATTATTTTTTGATATTGGAACATTTTATAACATGGGGAAATTTTGAAGATTAGCACAGGTAGAAACTAAATACATGATACACAGATTTAATGAAAGTTCCAAGCTATTTCTATTCATGATCTCCGTGAAGAGATATTTTTGTTTTAGTGTGTCTCCCCTGCTGAGTTACATTTTTGTTCACTGCATGAAGACTCCAGTGCTTTTGTGGTGAGAAACTGCTGTGTATCATACTCTTTAGGTGTTAACATTGCTTTGTATTGAACAATAGGTGGGAGGATTATGTAATGCTGGGATTATATTCTGGATTCCCACGGGGCTCCAGCCACAGAATCTGTCATGTTTGATTTAACCAGCTCTGTTTTCCCAATACAGGATATACGATGGTAGACAGCCTTTATTGGCCATCACGGATCCAGAAATGATCAAAACAGTGCTCGTGAAAGAATGCTATTCTACCTTCACAAACCGGCGGGTAGGCATCTACTTTTTTTAAAAAGTGAATCTTTGTGTACTATTGATTAAATTTTTGCTGTGAAATAACTATAGATTCACAGTGTGTCAAAACAAGCTATAATACATTTCTTCAGCATTTTTTGTTAACTATAATGTCTTACATAAGTATAAAAATAACATAATCCTGTTAATAGAGTAATAGGAAATTTATATTTATCCAATCTATGGAGCATATTTAAATTTCCTGTTTCATGTATCCTCTTTCTTGTCTTTTATGGTCACTACATGTAGGTTGTTTTTTCTCTTAAAAACTGGTTGTTTGTTTTTGTGGTTCTTGGGATTGAAGTTAAGGCCTTTGCATTTAGCTTCATTTCCAGCCCTTTTTTCATATTTAGATTTCGAGCTAGGGTCTTGTGAAGTCACTCATTTGCCAAGGTTCCACTTGAATATGTGATTCTTCTATTTCTTAGCCTTGCAGAATGCTGAGTTTATAGATATGTGTCACCATTCTCACCTTAATAGTCTCTTTAACAGAGAAAAGTTTATTTTTAAATGTTAAGGTGGCTAATTTATTCAATTGTCATTTTATAGCATGTTTTTAGGTGTAAGATTTAAATCATGATTCCTTTTTTTGTCCTGTAGCTGTCCCGTATTTTCAACACCATTGTAAGGAAACCTGTCCTCTTCTCTTGAATTCCTCTTGTATCATAGATAGAAATCAGTTGTGTTTCTTAAAGTGAGTCTATTTTTCTTTGTCTGTTTCTTCTCTTGGTTCTTGGGTCTGTCTCTCTTCCAGCATCTCATTACCTTGATCCTGTAGCTACACAATAAGTGCTAACAACTTGGGGCATAATACTTCCTACTTAATATTTTTGTGGATTTTTTTAGCTCATATAGCATATTTTAAAACCATGTATTGTCATGTGACATGTCCTTAGTGATTTTGTAGGGAGGCCCAATCCACATACTGCAGCAATTCCCCTTCAGAGCTACAAGAGTTTAAATGAAAGAAATGGAAGAAGTATAATCATGTGCTTTTGTGATATACCATGTGAAAGAAAACATTATCTCTTCCAATATCTTCATATTTTCTCAACAGTACCTATGAACCACTAGGTTGCTCATAGTGTTCTGTGAGTTGACCTGGCCCCAAAAGGCAATAGTGTCCATTGGTAAGGGCTTGCAGCCTGGATCTCCACTGGTTGAACTCCAAAGGTCCTTTGACCTTTACCTTCCCACCCAAATTCAGAATAAACTCATCTATATCAACAAAATTCTTTGTGAGATTTTGATAAAAGCCAAGTAAATCTCTTGTTAAACGTAAAGGATAATCTCTCTGATTACTGTGTCCAACCTTCCAATCCATAAATACAGTGTGAGTCTTTAAGTTTGTTGGATTTCATTTGGTAACCTATCCTAGCTTCTAGCATAGATAAACCATGTATATATTTGATGCATATACATGAGGTTTAGTAGAAAACTACAGTGTGTTTCAATTTTTAAAATTATTACAGCAAAAGACACATTGCCATGGTTCCCCTTCAAAAACTCCTCACACTGAGCAGTTATTTTAATCATTCTTGCCACTTTCTAAGTCAGTTCTTGGAAGTACTATTTCTTGAATGTTTTGAGTTGTGCTGTTATGGTTGCCTCAGTGTCTTAGAAATGTTTACCTTTCATGGCCATTTTTACATTTGGCAAGAACCACAAGTTGCATGATGACCAATCTGATCAGTAGGTGGGTGAGGACACATCATTATGTTTTTACAAATCTGTCTTTCCATTTTCTGGCACAGCAGTAACATTCATTATATATCTTTTAATCACAATTTTTAAAGATAACTATGAAACAAGACTTTCAGAACTACTTGAGAAAGTGGCAAAAATAACAGGATAAGTGAGTTTGAAGTGGAAATTATGACAGAGTAATTGAGGGTGATTAATGACAATTTGTCTTCTCCTATAATACATTAAAAATATAAGTACTCTCCCTATTTTTATATCATTTCCTACCCCTAAACTGTTACATTTTCTTTGGAATATTTATTAATGAATTTCAAAAAATATTTTCACCTATTATTGTTATAGAAATGTAATTAAATTTTCTGTCAACCTTGTAGCCTAAGATTCAATCTTCCTATTTATGAAAAACTAGTTTTATATATTCTATTTATTTAGTATTTTAATTTTAAAAAGCAAAACAATAAAAGATAGAAATGGTACAAAATTTCAAAAATAGTAGGAAATTAACACTAGTTGATATATTGGATATTGTTATCTTAGAAATAGTTTCAAGCAAGGAAATAGAATTATCTACTATTTTTCTGGACTCCTTGTATAAAAACTAAGGAAAAATGATTTCGACGTTATTGCATTATTTCTGTAGAAAACAAATACATCCCTAATCCTATAAGTAGTAGCTACAAATTTTAAAACCACATCAAACTTCTCTTTCTCAGAATACACCTACTGCAGAGATACATAAATGCAGATCTGATCCAAGGCAACAAACACTTTGCCAAGGAATCTGGTATCTGTTGCCACACCATTTCAGCTCTGTACAGCCTTGGAGGAGGCCTTGTTCTTGTCCATTCTTTCTTGAAATAAGAGTTTCACCAGTAACAGAAGCATTTGCCTTCAAAGAGAGACTCAAATATAAAGGCGAAAGTCCATACCATGTGTTTGAGTGATGTGAGAACATGAACCGGAAGCCAGGCAATTTTGACGATTGTGTATTGAGCATCCAGCATGGTTCTCCCCTTCTACTAAATATATGTTAAATAAGTGATGATTAAAATCTTTCCTATATCTGTAGTGATCCCCACACTTATGTGAAATAAATTGTGCTTTGTTTTGGATTTTAGACTTTTGGTCCAGTGGGTTTTATGGATAAGGCCATTTCCATAGCTGAAGATGAAGAATGGAAAAGAATACGAACAACGATGTCTCCAACTTTCACAAGTGGAAAACTCAAGGAGGTATTAAATTCAAAGGACTTTTAATTAGAAACTTAGAGAATAAATCTAGAGATAGGTAGACAGTAGATTGTAATCTTTCTTTAGGAGTAACTTCCTGAGCTTGAGCTTCCAATATAAGTTTCATTGTAAATGTTACTTACTGCCTCATCTTTGGGAAAGTCACGTACTCTGTGATTTTAGTCCTCACATTTCCTCACTATTCTTGTGCTGTTTCTGGTGTTAGATGTTCCCCATCATTGAACAATATGGAGATGTGTTGGTGAATAACCTTCTACGGGAAGCAGAAAAAGGCAAACCTGTGTGCATGAAAGAGTGAGTAATAGGACAGCATGTAAATTAACTCCCATTTCTTGCTGTATGTATAGCCAAAATAAGGGAAAGAGGTGTTAGTTTAATTGTGTACATCTTTCCCTACTCAGCATTCTAGGAGCCTACAGCATGGATGTGATCACTGGCACATCATTTGGAGTGAACACTGATTCCCTCAACAAACCACAAAATTCATTTGTTGAAAAGGCAAAGAAGCTTGTAAGATTTAATTTTTTGGATCCAGTAATTCTTTCAGTAGGTATGTAATATATTTCTTCTCTTTTTGTTTCTTCTTCCTTCCTTTTATAACAATAGCTTTATTTGAAAGATATTTCACCTGCTTAAAATGTACAGCTCTACGTTTTTCAAACATTCAAAGACATTTACATCCATGGACATTGTCAATGATAGAACTTTTTTGTCAACTGAAAAATCTTATACTCTTTTCAATATCAATCTCCAATCACCCTTGCTCTGAGCGAACTGTAATATGCTTCCTGTTTCTGTGAAATTGCTTATTCTGAACACTTTGGACTCATACCATGCATAGTTTTTGACAGTGGCTTATTTCATGTAACAATGTTTTCAGATAAAATATACATCATTTTTAAAGGGCAAATGCTCTTCTGTTCTATAGAAATGACATATCAGTTAAGTGAGATTTGAATTATTTTCACATTTGACTATTTTAAATGCTGCTGTTATGAATATCATGTGCAGAATTATGTCTGAACAGTTGTTTTCAACTTTTCTGGGTGTGTATTTAACAGTGAAATTGTTTAGTTACAAAGTGATTCAATGTTTGTGTTGTTAAGGAACTGGAAAAACATTTTCCACAATTGTTGAAGCACTTTGTATTCTCATTAGTGATGCCTGAAGACTGCTTGTTTCTCTCTACCCATTCAGTTCTTGGTTTTTCTAAGAATTTGATTATTTCCATTGTAGTGAGTGTGAAGTGGAAAAAATTGTGGTTTTGATTTGCATTTTTCTAGTGTTTTACTTTGCAATGTGACTTTCCCTTTTATTATTAGTTTCATTTAAAAGTTCATTACCATTTTCCTTATTTTTTGTCTAAGAGTTAACATCGTTGTAGCTCTTGTGGTTATATTTTTGATGCATTTTGAGCCAGAATTTGTTTTCAGTTGAGGAAAGTATTCCTCCTTATTCTTTTGCATGTGCTAACCAGATATCCCAGTTTTCCTTATTGAAAAGTTCCCTGTTTTTCCCTATTCAATGGTCAATGACACTCTTCTCAGAATTTAGTGAACCATGGACACATAACTTTATTTCTGAACTCTAAGTTCACTCACCTACACGTCTATTTTTACACTGGTAACACATTGCTTTGATAACTACAGCTCTGTGATAAGTTTTGGAATGAAGAAGTGTGATTGCAACCACTTTATTCTTATTTTTGAGATGTTTTGAGTCTTTGAAATTCTGTATAATTTTTTGGATCAGTCAGTCATTCTCTACTAAGAAGGCAGGTATAGTTCTGATACAGACTACTATATAACAATAGATCAATTTGAATATTGCTTTTTTGATAGTTTGAATTGTCCTCATCTATTCATATGGGATACTTTTCCATTTATTTAAATCTCTAATTTGTTTGATGATGCTTCATAGTTTCATACATGTCTTTTTAAAAAAGTTTTTAAATTTGTAATGCTTTTTAAAGCTTCTTAAAAATTTTTTGTTCTTAAATTTAATGCTAAGTATTTTACGTTTTGACAAATGAAATTATATATACAATCTACTTTGGGATTCTTTATTATACTTTGGGATTCTTTATTATGTTATAAAGGAGTATAATTTACTATTGCGCATTGATGTAGTGCCATAAAACATAGCTTAATTTTTTAATTGTAATAGATAAATAGAAATGACAAAAGGCATTCTTGTCTTATTGCTGATCTTATGGGGAAAGCTTTACTTCATTATATATGGTATTAGGTCAGGTTATCATAGATGCTTTCATCAGATTGATAGAATTTCCTTTTATTCCTATTTTGCTGAATATTTTGGTTCCAAATAGATACTGAATTCTTGTCAAGTGATTGCTTTCTACATTGTTTATGATACTTGCGCAGTATTTGTTTCTTATTAAATTAATATACTGTATTACATACTGTTAGATCTCTGGGATAATATCACCTATTTATTGCATATAATTCTAGGTCTCTTCTGATTCCAGATGAGTTTTAGGATTGTTTTCTCTAATTCTGTAAGATATGCTATTGGGATTTTGATTGCAATTGCATTGAATCTGTATGAGAGTTTTGGAAACATGGTCTTTTTTTATTGTAGTGGTTCTTCATGCCCAAGAGCACAGGACTTCTCTCCATTTTTCTAATATCCTCATCAATATCCTTTTTCAGAGTACAGTAGTTTCCAATGTAGAGATCTTTTACATCTTTCACTAGATTGATTTCTAAGTATTCCAATTTTTTGGAGTCTATTGTAAAAGCTTTTGTTTCCCTGATTTCTCTTTCAGTGAGTTTGTTATATGTATACAAGAAGGTTATTGATTTTTGAATGTTGACTTTATAACCAGCTACATTACTAAATTTGCTCATTAAACCTAGAAGTCTTTTGGTGGAGTCTTTGGAGGTCTTCTAAGTAGTGTATCATGTTATTTGTGAATAATGATAATTTAATCTCTTCCTTTCTTATCTTTATTCCTTTTATTTCTTTCTCATATAATTGCTTTAGCTAAAGTTTCTAGTACTATGTTGAATATTTGCATATAATTCTTTTTATATTTAAGTAGATTGTGTTTCTAATATTTTGTTGAAATATTGTGCATTTGTATTAATAAGATATATTTATGTTTAGGCTTCTTTATGTGTTATATTTTTCTAGTTTAGTATCAGTGTAATTTTGGATTTATATAATGAATTTGGAGGTGTTTGCCATCTTAGAAGTGTTTGTGGAGGAAAAGTATCAGTTCTTTAAATATCTAGTAAATCCTTCAAACTACCTGGCTATCTTTCTTTGTGGATGGTATTTGTCTACAAGTTCAATCTTTTCATGTTATAGATCTATTATTTGCTATTTATTTTTGTTAATATATGTTAGCAGTTAGTAATGTTTACACTCTTTGTGCAGAGTTGGTACATGTACATAATTTCCTGTGGTCCTTCCTCTCATTCCTGTTTTCCTCCATCACTCAATCCCCACATTATTTGTCTTTTATTTTGCTATTTATTTATGGTTTGTGTTTCTCATATAGGAGAATATTTTTGCTTTTTTTATATTTTATCTCTGTTCAGGAATTTTGTCTGTTTTATCTAATTCCTGCAATTTTGATAGTAATATAGCTGTTAGTAGAATTTCATCTAATGCTCCTCCCCACAGTGAGACATGGTCTAGCTAAGTTGCTCAGGCTGGCTTGAATTTGTGATCTTGCCTCAGTCTCCCAAAATATTATGATTACAGTCATATTATAAAATATTATGTGCTCCACCATGTCTGACTGGAAGACTTTTAAAAGTGTTAGAGGTAATTGCCCTGATTTCATTTTTGATAATTCTCATTAGAGATCTTTTAAAATTTTTTTAAAGAGGAAAATACAGACCAAAACCAATCAAAACAAATCAGTGTAGGAGATATGGAACTTCAAAACATTACAAAATCAGCAGTAGTTACCATAATTCTTTTTGATGTCTTCAAATAGCTGCAGGCATAGTAAAACTTCAGGCATAGTAAAAATTAAACACAACAGAATATAACAGAAATAATAAAAACAATATAATGAGCACCATAAAGGGCTTCAGAACAAGCCAATACCAAATCCAAAGTTGCTATCATAATATATCTTGCTATCTTTGGAAAGCTGCTCCTACCATGAGATTTTACATAATCAAACAAAAGAAGGGAATAAAACCCAATCCAACAAAACAATGGAAAGAATATAGGACTTCAAAACAAGACCATAGGGAATCAACAATGGCTGCATCCCTCAAAAGGAGATCTCCCCTAGGTGCCACATTATAGTGCTATCCTCTGAACCTCTGATCAGACCACTGGCCCTAGATCTGCAATGCTAGTAAAACAGCAAAACACCACAGGCATCAAGTTGCATTAAACCTCCATACCTATCATCAAAGTCTGTGTTTCTTCAGATACGCTGATTGCTTATGTGGGAGGAGGGCAGATGGATACCTCTGGTTTGCCAACCCAGATGCTGGCAATGGGCTGGGGTCTGGCTATTCCTAGTCCAGCAGCCTGAGCATGGTGCTGGTTCTCAGACTGGTCTTGTTTTATGCTGTAGTCTTGTTCTCTCTCTTGAGATCTTTAAAAACTTCGAAAGGGTAAATTTTTCCTTGAGCACTGCTTTTTGTCCATCTCACAAGTTGGGTAAAGTATATTTTCATTTTTATTTACCTCAACTATAACCCTAAATGACACTTGGAGTTCTTCCTTGTCTCTTTGGTTATTTTGGGCCGTTTTAATTTCCACATGTTTGGAATTGATGATTTTATTTCTGTTCTTGATTTGTGATTTCATCTTATGATAGCTGGAAGAATATATACTACATTAGATCTACCACAGTAGTTCTTTCTTGAAAGAATGATTGAATACCAGCTTATGGAAAGTTTGGTTCAAAAGATTATATTTCCATAGATTTTAGGGTAAGAAATTAGGGAATTTAATACTGGTCCGTTGGCCACTTCACAGTGAAGCAGGGCCACTGCCATTTTGTGGCTCTCTGTATGATATTTCCCTGATAGAATCTGAGCAGATATTATAGAAGGCATGACTCAGGGTTGAGAACCTTTTGGCTTTTATTCTTGTGAATGTTTCAATGAAGTATAACTGCTCCAAGTAAATTTTGCCTTTGCATTAAGGTTTCCTTTTCTTTTCTTCATAGTGATGTTTTCATTCCTCACTCCACTGTATGAGATGCTAAATATCACCATTTTCCCAAATGATTCTATGACATTTTTCAAAGACTTTGTAATAAGAACGAAGGGAAATCGCCTTGAATCTAACCAAAAGGTAAAATGTGGTGCTCATGTTAGGATGCTGATGTTTTGATGTGTTGAATTGTATAAATATGAGCTGTACACTTCCATCTAAGTTTTGTTAAAGTAGTAAATAAGTATGCTTATAGCAGTAGAGCACTAACATTTGGGAGAAAGGAAAAGGTAGATATTAGAGAAAGTAATGATAATAAATCAGAGAGACTGCATTTAGCATTTATTATAGGAATGAAAATTAGTGTGCTATTGCATAAATATGGTTAAAATAAAAATTTTGCTATTTTTCTTCTAAGCCCGTTGCTAGAGATGTTCTTCAGTGAAAGTTCTCAATGTACCTGGTAGAGTTTTGTCTATGATAAATTTGAGTCCTGTGATGGTTTGGAGTGGACAGGTTACTTTATGGTACATTGAGGCTGCCATCCAGCAACTACATATTTGCCTAATGTATTCTGGAAGCCAGTACAGAAAAATGTGTGCAGGTAAAGGAAGCAGGAAAGTACATGTAAAGTGCCCCTGAGAATTTTATAGCATTTTGGGAGTGTGGAATACTTCAAGATACTATCCCCAAACCTATGTTCTAAAAGTGGTGGGAGGTTAATCCATGAGCCATCAGTTAAGAAATAAGGAAAGAGAGCAAAAAGGATTGGAGCCCATGACTTCTGACTGATAAAGCAGGTGTGACATCAGAAATAGTCATTAACTTTCTGTCCAGAATGCTGTGTTCAAAAGCCATAGAAGCTGAGGAGCAGGGACAGCAGAGATCAGATCTGAGAGACCCAGAGTTCATTTTTTCTCAGGGAAACACCCTGTTCTGCATACTTTAGCCTGCATCTTCATTGATGACTTAGGCAACACCAGTCACATTTCTGGACTTGAAGGGATCATATGCTTAGAAGGAAGGTTACATTCTGCACTCTTGATTCACTTTTGACATCACAAGTGATAGTCTATTGTGAAAATTTCTGGTTTTTTTTTCTTCTAGCACCGAATGGATTTTCTTCAGCGAATGATAGAGTCCCAGAATTCCAAAGACTCAGAGTCCCATAAAGGTAACCAAGGATTCTCGATGATCTACAGATAGGAAAGCTCCAAAGAAGAGAGTTATTTTGGAAATGTGCAGAAAGGTTTTGAATCAGATGAGCATTTTTGCCAAATTTCAGTGATACATACAATCAGATATTATCTGATAGTAGCCAAAGGCAGTTTCTGTTACACACAGGCTTAAATATGTTCAAAGGTTGAGGGAAAGCCATAAGCCAGCATGTCAAGGTTAGAAGTTGTCAAGGTCTTGGCTCACCTGCACCAGAACAAGTGTTGATTCTCAGCCTCATTTAGACTTAGTGAATCAGACTCTCTACTTGGCCATTCAAGCAGGAGTGATAGAGGCAACATTCACCAAAAATACTTGGTAAAAGTGTGTTCACTAGGTTAACCTACTGAAAGATTTATTTCTCCTGTTATAAAAGTGATTTGCTTCTGAGGGGAACCTATGTGTCCTTGATATAAGTACAGCAATTCAGTCATGGTAGCTATCCTATTTTTCTTCATATTTTCACTTACTGGTTTTGGGTTTTGTTTTTCTCGATTGTAAGTACATGTGTGTGCGTACACTCTGTGTGCACTATGTGTACATGTTTTTAGTACTGAGGATTTAAACCAGGATCTTCATACACTGAGCTACCTTTGTAGTTATTTTTATTTGTTATTGTGAGATGGACATCTCTGAGTTACTAAGTTGTCCACATTGGCCTTGATCTTCCACTGTCAGCCTCTCAGAATTCTGGGATTACAGACATGTACCACCATACCTAAGTTCCATGACTATTTGTGATTAAAACTGTTATTCCTATGATTATTGCAAAATTATTAACTTAAATTTTCATCATTTTATGCATGTATGTACAAATACCCAATGTAAGGCTATTCTTCAATTCTTCTCTATCACTTACTTTAAATATTCTTATTTTTATCAATGTGACCTTATATATTTCCAATTTTGTCATTATCATTATTGTGTTGTTCATATTTTTTCTGGCTTTTCTCTTGGAATCTCTTTTTAAGTGGCCCATGAGGTACTTTTTGCTTTTTCAAATTTTCAGTTTAAAACAGAGTTTATTTTTTTGAGAATTTTAAGTTCATACAAAAATTAAGGAGAAAGTATGGAAATTTTCCATATACTCTTGAAAGTTCATACAGATTCACTCCTCCTATACCGTCTTCTACCACAGTGGTACATGAGTCATGATACATGGACCTACATTGTGTTATTATCATCACCAAGGTCCTTTGTTTTTATTAACAAACCATCATTTTCTGAGTAATGGCTTATTATCATGTGAGGATACTATAAGTTTCTCCAGAAACCCTGTAACCAGCCATTTAGCAAAGGGCTCCTGGTTCCTTTGTGTGAGAAAAGGCAGTTAGGAAGTAAATCTCAGATCTAGCATGATGATGGCTACTGGAATTTTGTTTTGTTTCTATATTTTCTAAGTAGACAAAGTAAGGAAAATTAAATTGTTGTCTATAAATACATTTGTGTCAATCCATGTGCACTGATAGTCATGACATGCCTCTGTCTCTCTCTCTGTCTCTCTCTGTCTCTCTGTCTCTCTCTCTGTCTCTGTCTCTCTCTGTCTCTGTCTCTCTGTCTCTCTCCTCTCTCTCTCTCTCTCTCTCTCTCTCTCTCTCTCTCTCTCTCTCTCTCTCTCTCTCTCCTTCCCACTGCTGGCTCCCCTTCTCTCCTCTGTCCTTCTCTCAATCTTTCAAATAAAAAAGTTGATAGCCTATTTCCTCAGGGTAAGTACACTAGTTCAATCATGGTCAACTGCCAGCAATAAATGGTTCAACAAGTACTCAGTGTAAACCTTAAATATTTAACAATGTATTCTAGAGCACAGATGTGCTGACCTCAGTCCAATACGTTGCAGATATGTATGTGTACATCTGCTTCTATCCATCTGTCTATTGATCTTTGTCCTACTCTGGTCTCATGCAATTTTCCACTATGAAAGTAATAATTTTTGTGCTATTCAACATGATCACCACTAGAAACATGCAGCTGCGGTACCTTAGAAAATGGTTAGTGCCACCATAGAGCTGAAGGTTAAATGAAACTTAAATTCATTGAAAATTAAATTGAAATAGAAACATGTGATTCAGGATCCATAGCAGATAGCAGAGATTAAACTTTGAATTTACAGTTCAATTTCAGTTCAGTAATTTTCAGTTTCAATGAGTCTGTGTTAACTGTGAGATACCATCTGATTTGTTGAATTTTCACACAAGGAATCACAAACTCCATGGTGTGTAAATTGTAGTTCTGTGTATCATTCTATCATACAATATTTCGAGCTTTAAGTTAAATGACGGAGGTAGTCAATGTTCATTTCAGAATTTCAGCTGTGGAAAGGGATGATTCCATGCTGCTCAGATTATTGTCTAGTTGTGGTGATCATTGTCAGGACAAAATCAAGAGGGAGAGCAATGTTGATAAGGGTGTTAGGTGGGAATAAAGTAGATTAAAGAGAGGGTATAAGTACTAAGAATGATGATATTTGGGCCATGATTGAATAAATGCTACCAGATTCTATCTGCTGAATACTGTTTTCATATACTTCTATTGATTTTCTTTCTGCTACTGTTTTGAGTCATTTAGTAGACTATGGTTAGTCACTATTCCAGCTTTTTCCTTTCTCTGTAGTTTCTATACATTCTGAGATTATCCATTGTGAAGACTGGTGCCCAGGTACTCCATTATTTGATGCCAGATTCTCAAGCAATGTTGCATGCGCAAGTCTCATATCTCAAGTGCTTAGAAACTAATTTGTTAGTTATGCAGTGGAGTTTGAAATTCTTCACTTAAAACAATTAGTGCATGTTAATAATAAATAGTGAAGTGGTTTAAGAAGATGATATTTAACATAGCCTAATCAATTTCAATTCCATACTCTTTTCTCCCCCAATTTTACCCCTTTCCTACCCCAGAAGTTTGCCTTCTGGTTTCCATTTGTGTCTCCTTTATTTTAATTATTATTTCTTAATCTATTTTTAGGCTTCTCATTACAAGAAATCACATGATATTTAGGTTTCTGAGACTGGCTCATTTTACTAAATCTAACGGTTTCTAGATTCATCCATTTCCATGTCAATGACATGATATTATTCTTCTTTATGGGTAATATTCAATTTTGCATATATATCACATTTTCATTATGCATTTGCTTGTTATTAGGATTCGTAGTTTGAATAAGATCCCAGATACTACTGATATATGGACTTCAATTTGAGTAGCAAGAGTTTCTCTTTGGCCTACTATTTTTCTCTTACCTTGCCTCAAACATATTTAGGTGGAAGATCTTTTAATTTTTCATACGATAAAGTCACAGTGTGACAAATTCTTTTAACAATGTTTTAAATATATGTTAGCCTGAATAATCTACTTTTTCCTGAGTGACTAGGACGTCATAAATATGACTTATTCTGAAGTATTTGCATGATTATCTAAGAGGCATATTGAAATATTAGATGTTCGGGAGTGATGCTAGCTCTTGAAATCAACTAGCTATGATAGTGATGAGAATGTCACAATGGGGAGAGATTAGGTATAGAGTTTGGGACAAAGTGTATCAAAATTCTTTCTTTCTCTGAAAAATGGACAAGAGTGTGAAATCCAGTCCAAGAATGACTGTGAATTACTTTTCTATGCTTCTTCCTGGGGCTTGGGGACTTTCTGAGGATTTATCATTTAAACTGTGATGTTATATAGTAATGTGCTTTACCTGAAAGGTGTTTCCTCTCCTCTTAGCTATGTCTGATCTGGAGATTGCAGCCCAATCAATTATCTTTATTTTTGCTGGCTATGAAGCCACTAGCAATGCTCTTTCCTTCATTATTTATGAACTGGCCACTAACCCTGATGTGCAGAAGAAACTGCAGCAGGAGATTGATGCCGCTCTGCCCAATAAGGTGAGTGGATGGTAGCTAGGAAGACGTGACTCCTTAGCAACAATGTCTCCTTATCACTTTTTAGGAGAACTTTCACAAAACTTGTAGGCATTGATTGCTTTCACCAACAACTTATGATAGAACCAAAGACAGAACCAAAGGTAGAATTATAGGTGGTGAGTACTACTTGCTTTTAAAAAAAGCTATTTTTAATGCAGTGTTGATCACGGTATATCATTACCACAATAATATCAGGTAAAACCTTCCACTGAATTTCCACTCTATGTAATGATGAACATGTATTACAAAGTCTTTTTAGATAAGTGGCCCTGTTGATGTCACTGGATGTGCTATGGCCTGGCCATCAGCTGAAGGAGGAGGGCCTTGGATTGGCTGGGTAGGTTGATTCATTTTTGCCCATATCTCCTTACATTCTAGTCTTAGAGCTAGAATTGAGAAAGCTAAGAATTTACCATCATCTCTGGTTCTTCTCAAAATGTGCAACACAGCCTCTCCTATGGCACACTGACTGATAGTAACATAGTGCCCATTTCAATTTCAGATCTCTACCCAAGTTGGAGAGCTGTGGTTTATGGTGCCACAAATAACCAAATAAACTGTGATTTATTTGGCCTCTGGGGCTGGTCTGGCAAGGAGGTGGACACAAAAGGCCTTTTTAAGAGCTCACAATAGAACCCTAAATCAACAATCAGGAGGCTGTTCTAGCAAAGAGGATAGGGAGAGGTGTGGTTCCCTATCCTCCTTAGAACTTTCACTAGGATTGAAATTGTGTGTTCTGGTATAAAACAACAGAAACCTTCTTTTGTCATAATGAGATGGGACTAGTTTCTTCCAAATTATTTATATCACATTAAATTAATGTAGTATTTCATATATATATATATATATATATATATATATATATATATTTCAAATCAGGGGTCATCAAGTGAAGAACATTGGGGCTTGAAGTTTAGCTCAGTGGCATAAGCGCCTGCCTTGGAAGCAGGCAGTCATGAGTTCGATCCCCAGTACTGATAAAAAAGAAAAAGACAAAAAAAAAGTGAAGAACATTATGTGGAATAGCAGATTTGCTTTTTTCCGATGTTATATTTTCTAAGCAATGACATGTGAGTTGTCTTTTGAAAAGTAACAGTGACTTTAGCACACTTTATCAAAGAATAATGGCTGTTCATATGAGAAAGATAAAACAGACCATGATAAAGCTAAGGATTTCAGATCCTGCATAGGCGATTGTCCCAAAAATCTCCAATATTTGTACTCCACACAATGAGCAGGATAAAAGGCACGATAGCCACTAAAATCATTTATAAATCATAAGGTCCTTTACCAGTGTCAGTTACATTCTAGATCTCCTAAAATTTCAATAGTACTAGTAAGCCTGAGTTCAACCTAAATGCTAAATCTCAATTTGTCAAATATTATTCTGCACAGGCACTTCCCACCTTTGATGTCCTGGTAGAGATGGAATACTTGGATATGGTAGTCAATGAAGTTCTCAGGTTATACCCAGTTGGTAACAGACTTGAAAGAGTCTGTAAAAAAGATGTTCAAGTCAATGGAGTGCTCATTCCCAAAGGGACAACAGTGATGGTACCAACTTATGCTCTTCACCTGGACCCAGAGAATTGGCCAGAGCCTAAAGAGTTTCGCCCTGAAAGGTACAAGGGCCTGGGAAAGGGAAACTACTCTGAACCAGGCTGGTCTAAACATTTGATGATGTCTTCTATCGTAAGTGACACACATGTGATTGTATCTTTGTTTGTCTGTATTTTTGTTTCTAGAAGTTTTTTATAGTTACACAGTGATACCAGCTATTAAAATATATAGTTTAGTTCATAGAAAAGAAAAATATTCCCGTCAACAGTGCCAGTGATTTAAGCTAAATCTTTTTAATAAGAGATGTTTTGATGGACATATATCTATGCAAGTATATGTAAATTTTGATGACAAGAATTACAATATGTTTTCCTTATATTATGTACTGCTTTTTACTTCTTGAAAACTATAAACTATCCACTGTTTTTCTAAGTGATCAGGCACATTATTCATAATTTACTTAACCACTCTTCTATTTTGTGTATAAGATTCTTTTCCTCAGGATTTCTATACTGTTCCCTAGAGCTCTCTGACTTTATCACAATCTATAGGATTGGCTCCCATTTCCTATAGTGTGATGGTAAAGTGCAGGATGAGGGCCTGAGAATCCCCTTTCTTGATGACTCAACATATACTCTGAGGACAGAGGAGAGCATATGTTCTCATTGTCTTGAGTCTGATCATCATCCTAGGCAAGCTCCGTCATACTCTCCATAGCTGGTTAGTCTTCTAAAGTCAAGTCATCAGTTCTGTACAGTTCTGAGACAATCTTCCTTGGAAGAATCTTGAACAGGTTCTTTGGGAAATCCTGAACAAAGTGATTATCATGTGTCAGAGATTGAGCCAGGCAGTTAGAGATCTAAATGTTGAAAAGCATTTACTGTGGAGAATATTTCACATCCATTAAAGTATACCTCATGTCAATGAACACTATTAATATGTGTCCATGGGCACGTCACTTACCCAAACAACCATCCAGCCATTTCAGTTGTCTCATCCAAATACCACCACCACCTTCCCTGGACTCCCATTCTGTTTGTAGCACACCACTTGTAAATATTTCACAATGTTCTTCCAAGTATAAGAACCATCTTAAAAATACATAATTTGGTGCCCTTGTCACTTTTCATAAATCTATAATTTTTCACTAAAATAAACAAATTATCATGAATTAAATTTGACTAAAATACCATCCTATATGAATAAATGTAAATAAAATACACCTGTGCTACAGGTGATAGATAAGGAATTCAGTGTTGATAACCCAATAGAAAAGGATCCTGTATCTTTGAAAATGATCTGACTTAACCCTTTCTAATGGGAGAAGAGAAAGGGGGGCGGTGAATAAGTTGAATGTACTGAAGTTTAAGGAGGTAAAGAAGACTACAGTGAACAATAGCTGCAATAATAAAGGAAGAAAAAAAGAGTAGAGAAGAACAAAGAAGGGAAAGGAAAATGAAAGCAATTTCAGCAGTGACAGAGGTTTCCTTCTTATTCCTCAGTGAATATTTGACCGATTTAAGTACAGCTGCCTCAGGAGCCCATTTCACTTTTCCCAATCTAATTCCTTAAGGCTGGTAACATATCAAAACCAGGATGAAATTCTAGTGTATAAAGCTACATTTTTCTGTCAGACAGCATTTCCCTCCTCTCATCTCAGTAAGACTTTAAGTTTCTAAATAGTAGAGGAAGTGCAAAGGACATTGATTCTACCATTCACATAGCCAATTATAGAAGGATTTGTGAGAAGCCCACAAGAGTCCTGTGGTTTTTATTATTTCATTCACTTGTTTTGATGCACTGTAAAATTATTTTTCTTAGTCTATATTTGCAATACAAAATGGTTATATTTCTGTGGGGAGTTAATTTATATACATAAAATTCTTAAACCTTTTTTTTCTTCCATTCTTCTCCTCTCCCACCCTTGTACATCCATCTCTTGATCCCCTTCCTATTTGTGAAAGATCTATCTCCCTACCTTTTATTATCAATCTTTTTTGCTCTTTATTGATACTTTGAGTTTCTCCTAAAAGAAAAACCATGTGATATTTAAGCTTGAGTCTGACTTTTTTCACATAACATTAACCTACAAATGACTATTTTCTCACCAGATTTAGTAAGAAGAACAAGGATCTCATTAACCCTTACGTATACTTGCCCTTTGGGAATGGACCCAGGAACTGCATTGGTATGAGGTTTGCTCTCATGAACATGAAACTTGCAGTCATCAGACTCCTGCAGAACTTTTCCTTCCAACCCTGTGAGGAAACACAGGTCAGTGCGCTTTTTGTACAAATGGTGTTTATTGAGGGATATTTTAAAAATTATAGGATTTATACAAATAAAGAATATTCATATTCATCTTTTAATAATTTGTGGGAGAAAGGATCTATTTGAACCCAAGTATGGACTTCCATCTATAAAGCTGTGTCTGTATAAAGGAAAAGTATGAAGACCATATAAAGTCCATGTAGATTAATATGATATGATTATGTAAGGGCTTTTTAAAATTGAGCTGTTTTAAATTTAGTTTCAAGCTACCCAGATGTGGGGAAATGTACGCAATCATGAACTGCAGTGGTCATGGAGTCATGATTGTTGCGTAATGCTCTCCTCTACCACAACTTGTAGAAGCTCCCTTGTGACTGTTTCTCAGACACTGGCCATGCATTATAATTACTAACTCATATTGCCTGTGTCATCTCATATTCTAAAACAATTCATAGAAAGTGTGGCTTTAATAAATCTTCATCGGGGTGCTAATTCGTCTAGCAATGTTGAGATTCATTGGTCTTCTGCTAGTTATGAAGATCTCCCATGATTCAGCGTCAGCCTGATTATTGAACGTCTCATTTTAGGAGGTGTGCTCTAGATGAACTGCTTATCTTTTGCATTCTCATAATAAGTACACAAATTGTAACCCCTCTCTCTTCTTTTGTTCAGTCATAAACCTCTTCCTGTTGTCACTCTTGTAGTTTATTTCAATCATAAATCCCTCTAGGACCATTTACTCCTTTGCTCTGGTGTTTGCTATTGCTGACTTCCATAAACCTCTAAGTTAATATTTTGCCATTAGATCATCCAACTTGGCTCTTTATCTTCCCTCTCTATTGAAGAATATTCCTCTGCCATATAGATCAGTTATTCATGCCTTTAACAAACTACCAGTCATATGTATAGGTAATTTGCCATTGCAAATATTCAGTACATGCCTAAGGAAAAATTTGCAGGATTTTTGAGAACACTTATATATAAATTTTATGCTATTTTAAATTTTAAAATCTTGACAAGTGATGTTTGTACATGTGCATTGTTTTGTAAGATAGAAAAAATAAGTGAAACTGATGGTTTCTATTTGAAAAGTTTAAGTAGAAAGGTGGATGATTTGGAAGAAATTTGAAATGCCTTTCCCGAAGAAATTAAAGAAAAATAATCATTGATAAACATGAAACAATTCTTGATAATATTAAGTTCCAAGACTCATGTATTTAATATGCTACTCTTCCCTGTCAGTAGGTTTTACAGGAAGGGTATAGATGTGGTTATGTTCTCAGGTGTGGCTTTCCAGAAGCTGTGTACCTCTTCTGTGTGTGCAGAGATGGTTTCATCCTTGATGGAAAGCAGGCCTTGGGCATACTTCAGATATGAAATTCTCCCTGGAAAGCTCAAGTCACTTGCAAGCCCATTTCTAATGGAGAATTTGGCCATTAAAACCTCTACTAAGATAATAAAAATCATTCTCCCCTAACACTGAAGGAGTGATTTAGTGAGAATGGGGACATAGGACTAGTCAAAATTCTTAGAACTCACAAGCTCCCTATTTGTCTTCAATTGGAAGCCAAGTGGAGATATAAAGAATTAAAAGCTTGCCAAAGGCATTTTTCATCATTAATCTGAATGAGTTTGATTGGGAGGACTGAGGTTCAGGAGTCAAGGGTTCATAAATGAAATATATAGTACTGTTTCTATTTAGGGTGAACTTGCAAGTTTTAACAAACACGATATTAACTTTTTATGACATTTTATTAGTAGTTTGCTTAGATCTATACACTGGCTTAAAATTTTTAAACACTCATTTAATTTAAAATTTAAATAAAGAATGAAAATACAGTGAAAACTTGACTTACAAACTGAATGTTCATGAGAACTGGTTGCAACTCAAGTTGATTGCAAATCAAGACTATTTTTCTCATAAGAAATAATAGAAATGCTCACAATAATGAATTCTGAGCATTGCAAAGCACTCCTTATCTAACCTTTCCATAATAAAAAATGTTTTATAATGTACATAGTTTACCAGATACATCAATAATTTTCCTAGTGTAGTCACCAAAATGTTATAAAATTTGCCTAATTTACTAGAACTAATAATTGCATACTGTATTCCCATTCAAATTTACATCTTTGGCTTGCATAAAGGGAGTATGAAATGTTAGGTGGCTGCTGTCTGGTGGTCAAGTCCCCTTCCATGAAAACATCAGGAATGTGGTTTTCTGATGTCCTTTTTCTCCTTAGGAGAGTCTGTAACCCTCTAAGATCTGTTTCTGGCACACTATGTGTTGAACTTTTAACAATTAAAACTTGTATAAGGTTGATCTATTTCTGTATTTTTTTAAATTTTTTTTCTTTTGCGTGATATGACATTGTCATTAAACAAGTGAACATAACAATTGGCTTTTTCTCTGTGTGGGTGTGTCTTCTCTACAAATGTTTGTAGTTCTGTCCATTTAGTGAGGATTGCTTTCATTTCCCAAGAACTTTGCTGTAACAATTGTTGATAGTCCCCCTCTTCTTCAAAATGTTTGCTCAGCCATAATTTGCTGAAGCTCCTCTGTAGAGATTTGCTCTGAGTTTTCCTCCATCAGTTCTCTAGTCTACTTTGAAGTCTAAGAATTAGGTTATAGTGACAATGCTATCAATCACAGGGTCAACTGAAGTCTCAGGCTGCTGCAAACAGTCTTCAATGTCTCTCTTAATTTATAATTTCTAATATGCATATCTCAGTGTCCTTAGATAGACATTGGCCCAGGTGTACCCAGTTAACCTCACATAGGAAAGGATTTTGTAATGTTCCTTCCAGAACTCATTAAGGGTTAACACTGTATCTGGGACCATCTAGAAGCACTTCAAGAACAGTTTCTTGGTATACAGATTCCTAAAGTTACCTATTAGCTGTTCATCCATAGGCTGAAATAGAGGAGTTTTATTAGATAGCAGAAACTCAACTGAGAACATGGAGATTCTTTAGACAATTCTTATTAGAAATCTCATGAGTGAGCAGGAGCATTGTCCATGATGAGGAAGGTCTTGAGTGGTAAACCTTTGTCCTCTAGACAGTTCTTAAGTAGAACTGCAAGCCTCTCTGATCCACTCAAGAAAAGTACTCCTGTTACCAGGTTTTGGCCTTACATCACCACATGACCTCTAGCCTATTCTTCATGACTTTGTGTTTTCTTAACACTTTAGAGGCCTCAGAGTGATAAACCAAGAGGCACTGTGTCTTGAGGTCACCACTCACATTGATGCATAGCAACAATATTAGCCTGTCTTTCATAGCCTTGAGGCATGGCATTTTCTTGTCTTCCTGGATAATCTACGTTCTCCTGCACATTTTCCCCAGAAAATGTTAGTTTCATCACAGTTGAAAACTTGATGAGAGCAAAAGCCACTTCTCTGTCATTATTTTGAAGTGATCCATGTAATTTTCAGCAGCCTTTTTATTGGCACTGGCTGCTTCACTATTCCTAGTGTTACTATGAACCCCCATTGTTACTTTAAAATTAAGAAACCAATCCTTACCAACATGAAATATTTTACGATTGACAATCATTGATGGATTTTCCTTTACAAGATCTGCATTTATTCCCCTAGCTTTTTCACTAATTGTAGACTCAGATAAGCTATAGCCTGCCATCTGCCTTTCATTTATCTACACTACTAATAGACTTTCTACCTCGTTTAACATTGTTGATAGTGATTTTTCTAATTTGAGTAATGACTTTAGTAACCCTGGCTTCCTTTTGCAAATCTTTTCTCTGTAATATTGTTGACATAGTTGTTTCCAATTTGCTGTACATATCTGTGAGGTCAATCATGGACACCACTCTTACATGTCTCCACAATTTTATTCTTTTTATTGTGATTGCTTTCTTTAACTTCCCTTTGTTAGATTTTTTTCTAGTCTATTTTGAGGCCATTTTGATAGCAGTAATTGCTATGATTATATAAAACACTAATAAAAATCAGGTTTACAAACAAAAGCATCTGGGCTAACGCCAATATTTAAGTTTTCTTACATACACTTTTCTGACAGCACAAGTCTTGTATACAACCACACAAGTGGCTGGCATTTGAGTCATATCTCCAGACTTTGTTAATAAGTTAAACCTGAAATCCTGGTCATAAACCAAAGTGTTTGTATGTGAGACTAATTGTAACTTGAGGGTCCATTGTCTAGTGAACAAGTCTAATATTTTATTTCAAGTCTGATACAGAATAAACGCATGGCAATTTTTGCTAAATTAATGTTGGAATGAATTTTTTCATTATCTAATCTTGATTCATCTTAGAAAATAAATGTAAGTAATTCAAAATACATGATATGGTTTTCATATATTTGTAAAAATTATTGTTTTTAATATGCTTTTTCTTCTTTGTTGGTAATTTGTTATCTGTTAATGTTCTTGTTCAATTGTTGCAGATCCCCATGAAATTAAGCACTCATGTCCTTCTTCAATCAGAAAGACCCATTGTTCTCAATGTTATATCAAGAGATATGACTATAAGTGGAGCCTGATCTTCCCTCAGGATTTCTATGTTCAAGGAGTCTGTGTCCAAAAGACCTAAGACTTAATTTGCCTTTAAATAAAATTTATATGAATATAGACTTAGTCTACTGTTCTTGGGGAGTGATTACATGTTTATTATAATCCTGAAGCTTACTTATTATGTTGAGTGTTACTTGTGATATAATGTAAAGACAATGACAGAATCAGTGAGAGAAATGTAAAACATGTACTGATTACTGTGGTAATGTCTCCATCCACTCCAAGGAGCTCCATCAGTGAGGTCTGGTAAGAGTAAATATTTTTCAATAATTTCATGAATAATTTTTAATAAAATGGGTACTATTGAGATGACAGAAATAATCAAATTTATTTAAATGTTTTCTTAGTAATAGTCTACAAGAAGTGTTATGAGAATATGAATAAATAAGTTTTGTTCACAAGTATGTCATGTCCAAGAAAATTTCACACCATGACCAAATGGGAATCACCTTGAGAATGCAGGGATAGTTCTACATATGCAAATCAATAGACATAATAGATAACAGAATCAAAGACAAAAATCATATGATTGTTTCATTAGATGCAGAAAAAGCTTTTGATAAAGTCTAATATACATTCATGGTAAAAACTCTACAGAAAATAGGAATAGATAGTCTTTATCTCAATCTGATAAAAGCCACCTATGATAAACCAACAGCCAACATCATACTAAAGAGGCTAAACTGAAAAGTTGCATTCTAAAATTAGGAGCAAGACAAGGATGTTCACTGTCACCACTCCTATTCAGTATTGTTCTGGAAGCATTAACCAGAGCAATTTGACAAGGCAGAGAAATAAAAGGAATAAGGATAATAAAGGAAGAATTTAAAATATTATTATTTGCTGATGCCATGATAATCTACATAGAAGACCCAAAAATTACACCAAAAGACGCCTACTTTTAATAGCTAAATTCTGTAGTTTAGCTGGATACAAAGTCAATACTTAAAAATCAATAGCCTTCTTGTCCATGAATTAGAAACTCACTGAGAGGCCAGCTAGGTAATTAACAACTTTCAAGAATATCATAAGAAATGAAACACCTATGAGACAATGTAACATAAGAAATAAAGTATTTCTACAATGAAGACTATCATACTCTGAAAAAGGAGATTGAAGAAGAGATCAGAAAATTGAAAGATACTTTTTTATATTGGGTAGCAAGAATCAATGTGATGAAAATAATAATAGTTCCAAAATTGTTCCAAAATTTCAAAGATTTCAATGTGAATCAAAATTGCAAAAGTATGTATCACAGAATTAGAGAAAAAAACCTTAAAATTCATTGGGAAAACAAGAAGAGACCTAGAATAGCAAAGGTAATTCCAGACAACAAAAGCAAATATCAGACAACAAAAGGAGATATCACAATCCCTTATTTGAAATTATACTAGAAATCTACTGTGATAAAATCCACATTAATGGGAATAAAACAGGCCTGAGGATCAATAGAACAGATTAGAAGATGTAGAAATTACAACAAACACACTCAATCACCTTTAGTTTGACAAAGGGGACAAACAAATTCACTGGAAGAAAGATAGCCTCTTTAACAAATGGTGCCAGAAAAACTAACTCTCCATATACTGAAGACTAAAGTAGATCTATTTCTTTCACTTGCACGAAACTAAAGTCAAAGTGAATTAAAAATGTGAATATTTAAACAGAAACACTTAACCTACTGGAAGAGAAAGTAGATAGGAGTCTTGAAGACATAGGGGTGCACAGAGAGAGTGCATGAACAACATACAAAGTACCAAGGAAGTACTAAAAAAAATCAACAACTGGGATCACATCTTATTAAAAAAATTTTGCATAGCAAAAGAAATCACCAAGAGAGTGAAAATCCACAGAGTGGAAAAAATTTTAGCCAACTATCCCTCAGACAAAGGACTTCTTTCTAGTACTATAAAGAACTGAAAAGGAAATAGATTACTCCAAATTCAAAGATCCAGTCCAATAAAGGACATCTCAAGTGAATATACACTCCCCAGATAGTGAAATACAAATGCCAAAACATATAGGCAAAAATGTTCAACATCATTGGTCATTTGAGAAATGCAAATTAAATCACCACAGATTCCATCTCACTCCAGAATTAATGACTATCATTAATAAATCAACCATTAACAGGGATGTGGGAAAAAGAAACACTACTCCACTTTTGTTAGGAGCGTAGACTGGTACAATTGGTACAAAAATTCCTCAGAAAACAGGACTAGGGGTGCCATTCAACCCACCTATTCCTCTTCTGGGAAATTTCCCAGAAAATATGAAAGAATCATGCCACAGTGATATATGTGCACCCATGTGCATAGCAGCACAATTTGTAATAGCAACATCTTGGAAACAACCCAATGCCCATCAATGGAAAAATAGGTAAAAGATATGTTATAATTTTATATAATAGAGTACTAATCAGCTATAAAGCATGATAAATTTGATGCTTTTATAACTAAATGGATGTAATATAGACCATTGTCCCAAGTGAAATAAATGAAACTTGCTTGTGAAAACATCATATTTTCTCCCTGGTGTAAGAAACTGAAAAAGTAAATATGATCCAAAATGTATAACAGATATTGTGAAAGGGAAAGAAACTGTTCAAAAAGAAGAACTACTTTGTTGGGTGAAAGGACAAAAGAAGGAAATGAAAAAAATAAAAATAAAAATAAAAAATACACACATACAAAGAGTAGCTAAGATCATTGCTAACTGTTTTTCTTTTTTGTTTTCTTTTAAAGAGAAAAAAAAAACCGAAAAATTCAAGAAGGAAACAAAGAAACCAACAACAATAAAAGCAAAGTGACAACAACAAAAACAACACAAACCAATAGCAATGTAGGATTTCAAACCAAAATGATAGGAATTTAACAATAGTTGTTATATTGCATATTGTTCTCTTCCAAAATAGTTGCTCAGGTTACCAGATACAGGCATGCAAAATTGATCAAACAAATGCAATCTCCATTTCTTGTATATTGAAGCATTTAAGTATTTCTTGTATATTTAAGCAGGTCCTTTCCCTTATTCTGTATATATTGTGTCTTTTGGATCTTATTTACTCTTTCAGTTTCTTACACTAGCAAGATATTATGGTGTTTACCGATTGGTTGTTCAGGAGGATGTTATTTAATTTTCACGTATTTCTGAATTTTTTTGTATTTTTTAAAATTTTATTTAAAAGGAAAAAAGAAAAAATGAAACAAAACAGTGTAAGGGTACAAATTAATACAGGACTACAAAAAAACAGTAAGAAATCACGAGTTAATACATTATACATTGTCATCTTAGAAATAGTTGCTCAAGTCACAGGATCAAAGCATACAAAGTGGCCATTCAAAGAGTGAGACTGGAAACAGTTGTGTTCAATGATCCAACAAAAATTCTGTAATATGGTAATCTATCCTAACACACCTAAACACACTTGCAGTTGTATCCTTTAGAGCACTTTTTTCCTCTCTTTTTTTTACAACAAAATTAACACATTTTGGGTTTTATTACTCCCATAGTTCTTATTACTTTTTTTGGAAGAAAATAAAACCAAATATGACAGAACAAAGCTGTCAGGGATAGACATACTACATGATGTAAAAACAGAGTACAAGGTTATCAACAATGGTTACCATAATGCCACTTGCTTCCTTAAAAAGAATAGCCTATATCATTAGGTATAATAAAATTGAAGACAACAGTAAAGAACAAGACCAATAAAACCTAAACATTGAAAAAATTACAGGATTTCAAAAGAAGATAATAGTCAAACGAGAATGGGAATCATAGTGAATCTTATTGCCTTCAAAGTAGTTGCCTATACCCTCAAAATTGATACTATCAGACAGAACGGAACAGATTCTAATCAGTCAAAACAAGATAGTGGAAGTAATACAGGACTTCAAATCAAGTTAACAGGAAATCAAAAAAGTTACTATCATATATCCTGCTAATATTTCTGGTTTTTTCCCCTTAATTAAAAAAATAAAAGAAAATATTTTTTAATGAATAAGGGGGGAGACTGAGATAAAAGAAGACATAGCAACATAACAATACAGGTCAAAACATGACAATTTCAGCAACCTAGTGCTTCACTACCAAATAACCCGACTTAATAGAAGTTACCATAGTATCTTTTTCCTTGAAGTATTTGAATGTAACTTCGTATACTATAGCATCAGACATATCAAGACAGTGTGAAACCATTCAAATGGATGAAAGTATTACAGGGTATTTAGAATCAGCTAACAGAAAATGAACAATGATTTCTATATTATCTCTTTGCCTATGAAAATTTTTGTTTATACTATAACATAAAACAAAATCCAGTAAAATACAACATGATAAAACTAATGGAGACAGAAGAACAACAGTTTGGTACGGCTTCAAAACAAGATGATATTAAATTAGCACTAGCTCTTATGATGTCTTGTTTTCTTCAAAATAGCTGTTCATTTCATCATAGGCAACAATATCAAGCAGCCCAGAATAAAGCCATTCAAATTAATGAGTGAAAGCTTTATAAGGCTTCAAGGCCACATAATGAGGAATCATGATTACCACATACTTTTATATTTTTTAATTCTTTCCTACACTAGGGAAACTATTTGGTATTCACACATGTGAGTTTGATTTATTTCACTTATGAGTATGGTCTCAAGCTGCGCCCATTTATTGATAAATATCTCAATGTGATCCTTCTTTATAGCTGAGTAGTACACCATTGTATAAAAATAACACAATTTTTTTTTATCCATTCCTCAGTTGATGGACACTTGGGTTGTTTCCAAGATCTGTCAATTATAAATAGTGCTGCTATAAACATATATGTGCATATATCACTGTAGTATGGTGCTTTCAGTTCTTCTGGGAATATGCCTAGAAGTGGAATAGCAGGAACAACTTCCAATACCAGCTTTTTGAGAAAACTCCAGACCGATCTCCACAATGGTTGCACCAGTCTACCATTCAGGAGAACTGTTGTGCCAACAGTTCAGGAGAATTCCTTTTCCCTCACAGTCTCTCCAGCATTTATTGCTGTTGGTTTTCTTGATCCTGGCCATTC